TCTCTCTCTCTGTCTCTCTCTCTCAAATAAATAAACATTTAAAAGAACCTTAAATAAGTATTCAGAAGGTAGCCATGGGAAATGACCACCTCCAGTCTTCTTTGGAAGCAGGAAGGGTAGGGGTTATTAAAGTATATTAGTCAGGGTTAAACAAGAAAGTGGACATTTCTAAGCAACAAAACCAATTACTGGAGCATGTTATTTTTAGCACTGTAATGATTTCCATGGTACAGCTTTTAGCTCCACTGGAAATGACAATGCAAGTGTCACCCTGAACATCACATACCTTAAGTGGCACCTTGTGTGTTGTCATCCTTCCAGAACCAACTCAAATGTCATCTCTTCTGTGACTTCTCTAAATGTCCTCTGAAAATGACATTTGTATATTTTTGCATTCCGTGGTCCCTGTACAGATTGGATTCATTGTACTTCAGGGCTCCCACTCTAACCTGCTTTTGCTTCAGCGAGGCACTTACCACATCATATTTCAGGAAGTCAGGTGTCGTTTCCGTCATGCTGGATATTGAACTCCCTGAGGACCAAGCTATAGACATAGAAGCTACTCAATGAAAGAATGAATGAATGAATGAATGAATGAGTGTTTCTTTGTATATGACTTATTCCTAGTTTATCCCAGGTTTCCAAAGATTCTGACTCGCCTACCAGACTGAGACTGTTTCTGCCTCCCTCTGCCAGTCTGTTCAATGATACTGTCAACAGTAAACATTGCCATTTTTGTTCTGTGGCCACAGAATAATGAGCCATGGGAGCTACCAGGAGGCAGAGCTAGTAAGCTCCAGAGGTCACATATGAAGGTCTAGTATTTTAATAATCTTTGTCCCAACTGTTGTTTTGTCCATATTTGAAAGATCTCTTGATCTGTATCCATCCTGAAACCATTGACACTTCAGAACTGCCAAAAGTCCGCCCTAGCAACATGGACTATTATGTGGCTAACTTAGGAGGTCTGCCTTCCTATTTCCTAGGACAGTCGCCCTCGTGTGGTTTACGGTCTTGACCAACTCCTTTTCTGTAAGATAAAACCAAGTGCTTTGATAACAATCCAAATGTTAAATTTGGTTAAGCATGAGAAAATTATGTTTTCAGGATAGATTCGGTAGCACAACTTTTCATCAGTTGCTGAGGCTACTATGCACAAGAATGAAGAAGTAAGCAGTTTTATCCCAAGTGCCTGAATGCATCCATATACATCTTTCCCCCCCTTCCTCTGTGCTGGAATCTAGCCCATGTTTTATTCCTTATGAATTTTGATCATGGTTGACCATTACCTATATGGTCAAGGATATCTCTTCAGAGTATGGAGGGTTAAATAGCTGAAGACCTAACATGACATCCAGGATAGGTATATGTCATGGTAGAGTGACATAGAGTGAGGCTGACTTTCAAAGCAAGGTTCCTTCCCTCATGTTACACCCGGGAGGCAGCCATTGGTGAGGTAGCTATGATGGGTGTGGCCATACTAAGGGATACATAGAAGAGAATAGAGAGATTCTGGGGTATTTTTGAATGAAGTTCTTAAGTTAATTCATTTTCCTCCCTTCCTCCCTTCCTTCTACAAGTACATACTGAGTACTTACTATGACCTAGCCACTGTCTGAGGCAAACAGCAATGAATAAGATCATGTCCCTATACCCTCATGGAACTTATATTCTGATAGAAGAGAGAGAGAGAAATAAATAAATAAATAAATAAATAAATAAATAAATAAAATGATTTCAGGAAGAAACCATTTTATTTTACAAAACACAAAAATGACCAAAGGGTATGGTGGTTCCTCAAGCAATCAAGCATAAAATTACTATATGACCCACCACGTCCACTTCTGGGTATATGACGAATTGAAGGCAGGGTCTCAAATGGATATTTGTACACTCAGATTCGTAGCATTATTCACGGTAGCCAAAAGGTAGAAGCAACCATCGAAGTCCATCAGTGAATGCATGGATGAATATGATGTGGCCTATATATACAATGGAATATTATTCAGCCTTAAAAAGGAAGGAAATTCTGGGTGGAATTTTCTGGGAAGGAAACTCTTGGGTGGCTCAGTTGGTTAAGCATCTGACTTTGGCTCAGGTCATGATCTTGCAGTTCATGAGTTGGAGCCCTTCATCGGGGGTCTCTGCTGTCAACACAGCAGATCTTCTGTCCCCCTCTCTCTGCCCTTCCCCTGCTTGTGCATGTGCGCTCTCTCTCTCTCTCTCCCTCTCTCTCAAAAATAAACATTTTTTTTAAAGTAAGGAAATTATGACACCTGCTACACTGTGAGTGAACCATGAAGACATTATGCTAAGTGAAATAAGCCCATCATAAAAGGACAATTATAATATGATTCTACTTGCTTGCATTACCTACAGCAATCAAATTCATAGAGACAGAAAGTAGAATAGTGGTTTCCAGGACTGGGGAGAGGGAAGAAAGGAGAGTACTATTATTTAATGGTGCAGAGTTTCAGTTTGGAAAGATAAGAAAGTTCTGGAGATGGGTTAGTGGTGATGGTTGAACAATAATGGGAAGGTACTTAATGCCACTGAACTGTACCCTTAAAGATGGTGGAAATGGTAAGTGCTATGTATATTTTAACAATTAAAAAAGTAATCTTTTAAAAAAATAAGCAAGGAGCTAGCTGGAGTAGGAATGATTATAGTTAGGATCATCTGGGAAGGCTCCTCTGAGAAGGAGGTGGCCATTTGAGTAGAGACCAACTGGAATGATGAAGAGAGAATGGGGAGACAATGGGGGATTGGTTTGGGATTTTGTTCTAGGTGCAGCAGATAGAAGGCTTTGGAGAGTTTTGACCACTTGATGAACATGATCTGATTGATGACTTTAAAATATGCTGGCTGCTATGTGAAAAGTAACTGAAGGGGAGAAAATCTGGAAAGCAGAAGACCAATGAAGAGACTATGGCAATAGTCTAGCAAGTGACTGGTGGCTCAGGTGATGTTGAGATAATGGGGGAGGTGGTGAAAAGTGATTTAAGTTGGGATGTTTTCAAGGTTGGGCCATTATAATTTGCCAATGAATTTGATGTGCAGTATGAGGGAAAGAGATGACTTAAGGTTTTGACTTAAGGTTGACTCGGTTTTTAAGCGAGCAGCTGAGTGAGAGAGGGTGCCAACGACTAGGGGAAAAGGTTGGGGGGATGATAAGGGGCATGGGAGTCAATCAAAAGATGGTTTACATAAAAAGCGAAATCAAGGGGCGCCTGAGTGGTTCAGTCAGTTAAGCGACCTACTTCAGCTCAGGTCACAATCTTGTAGTTCCTGAGTTTGAGCCCCACATCAGGCTCTGTGCTGGCAGCTCAGAGCCTAGAGCCTGCTTCAGATTCTGTGTCTCCCTCTCTCTCTGCCCATCCTCTATTCATGGTCTATCTCTCTCTCTCAAAAATAAACATTAAAATTAAAAAAAAAAATCAAAACCCAGTACTAGCAGAGTGATAGCACTTAGAAGCCATTTATTAAGTACTTGAATGAAAGAATTAGTTAATTAAATGGAATGTGTAAATGGAGGGAGGAAGGAAGAAAAAACTAATTCTAAATTTTACAAAATGTGAAGGAGAACATTTTGCAAGATGGTACGATTGTAAAGACCCCAGCTAGAATTTGAAAGAACTGGGTTCCAGTCTCAGATGATATTTCCAAACCTCAAATTCCTCCTCTCAGCTTTTATTCTGGGATTTCCCCCTTTCCTCCTTCACAAGGGATGTGTCCACATCTTGACTCATGCCAGCCGGCAAGCCCATAGCGCCAGCATCCCTGTGCATAAATGCAGAGCCCACAATCCTGGGACAGGGAACAGCCAATCAGTGAGCTCCCCTCAGAGGGACTAGCCAATCAGTAAGCTCCTCCAGCTGTGCCCTCACCAACCACGCCTTCCCCACCCTCAGCACATACCCTGGGTATCACTGCAGGCATTGGGGAACCAGCCCCTCAGCATTCTGGACAAATCCCCATAAAGGTCAGTTCCTCAGAGAGTCTCACTATTTTAAGGGCACACTTCTAAGCAAGCAGGAGACGAGTTGGGTTCATTCAGTGTGTTGGCCGGGCTCGTGTTGCCTGACCCACTAATTATTCTTACGGAGCCTTGGGGCTGGTTCCTACTAAGTCACAAAGGGAGGAGGGAGCGGTTAGCGGGAAGAAAACATTTAAAAGTCACCTGCACAATTGGGGAGGCGCAATGCAAAATGAGAAAGATCTGTGAACGTGCTATAAAGCAGCCTTGCCTCCCGGGTTTTCACGCATTCACCACGTTTGTTCTGGCTTTTCCACAGGGCTGAGGGTCCAGAGCCTGCCTACATCAGGCCCCTTGCCTCTTTCTCTTCCGACAAACATCTCGTCGACCGGCATCTGGACAAGCTCTCCTCAAAGCCCCCCTGCCTCCCCGACCACTGGCACATCCGTCTTCCCAGTTACGACCTCGGCTCCAACACCTACACTCCCCAAGAACGTTTCCGTAGAGCCCAGAGAGGAGGACACCAGCCTCCCGGCCTCTCACTGGGAACACAAGAACACAGACCCCTCCCCAACAAGCGGGGGGCTGCACTTAACACCCACGCCCTCAGAACACAGCTCAGGCACTCCCAAGGCAAGTGTGCCACCCACAGGGTCGCAGTCCCCCTCTGAGACCCCAGCTCAGTCCCCCGCTGAGTCCCCCACGGAGTCTCCTGCACTCACCTCCCCTCAGGCTGCAGCCTCATCACCTCCACCCCTGTCAACCTCACCCCCAGAGGCTTCGTCTGCCTCCTCTGCCAGCACCAACCACAGCTCTGCTGAGACCAGCCTCAAGCCCACAGGAGCCCCAGCCACACCAGAGTCCCCAGCAGAAGAGCACAGCTCTGACCACACACCCACTTCGCATGCCACGGCAGAGCCTGTGCCCACGGAGACGACGCCCCAAGCGACAGTGCCGGCCAAAGTGACCTGTATGCTGATCGACGTCGAGACCACTGCCTCCCCCGGGGTGATCATGCAGGAAGTGGAGCATGCTCTAAGTTCAGGTGAGTCTCAGTCCCTAGACCACTGGAGATGTTAAGAATGCGGTTCCGCTAACCCAGCACAGTAGGTTACGTTTGAATTTCGCGGTGCAGTGCCTGAGCTGAATTCACAAGAATGTCCACAGAAGTGCAAACTTTGCCTTTAGTCACGTGATAATTTCTACAGGATATCTCATTATTACAGCCAGTCTTTACAATTTGTCTTCACAGATGTCACAGACAATGGCAGCAGATGAGACAGTATAAGCAAAGGGGGTGACAGTGTGGCTTTGGGGCACGCTTCCTAGGTTTTAGTTCCGGCTCCTGACCTTGGGCACGTGACTTCATCTTTTTGTGCCCTTATTTTTCCTCATCTGTAAAATGGGGACACAGGGGGTTCTATCGTACATGATCCTTGGGGAGATTCTATGCGATGCCTGTGAAGTGCTTACTTAGTAAGTGCTCAGGACGTGTCAGTTATTAGTATTTTTCTCAGTGTATTAACGAAGTGCTTACTTCATGGAAACCAGTAAAGCAAAGTAGGGAGGGGGCGGTGGGGGGGCGTGTGTAGAGAATTTGGCTGATTCTTTATAGTCACTGCTAGAGTTCATGGGAAAGACAATAAATTTTACAGGGCATTGGATTTGTTTTTATTCTCCCAGCAGCCCTGTGAAGTCAGTATTATTTTTATCTTGATTTTCCAATCTCGGAAATTACAGCGGAGGGAGATTTAGGGTCTCTTCGAAGGTCCCATGTGTGTGACATTGACGTAAAGATGGTAAACTTGAGGGTACTGAGCAGGAATAGGCTTTAGTGGGAGCGTTTGGCCTCCTGAGCAAGAAACAATAAGGTGAGAGCAGCCAGAAGGTGAAGGGGGAAATGGCTCTGTGGCCCCTTCGCTGGGACAGTCCTGCCAGAGCTGTGGGCTGCCCTGGGAGTATTCAGAATAGAGCCACACATGACCAGCTGGAGTCAAAGGAATGGCTGTGACCGAGGAGACTTGAACTCCCGTTTAACGATGAAAACCTCTACGAACAGAAACTCCAGTAAGCAGTGGAGGTGGGGAGAGAGGGCTAAGATTAACAAGACATGATTCCTCACGGAAGATGAGTTTACTAGGGGATGACGTCCCGAAGAATTACGCGTTCTGATGTCAAAGGCCTAATATATCCGCGAGAGTCCCAAAAGAGACAGCGAGGCAGGCAAACGGGGGTAAAGGAATTAATTACGAAGGTCCAGGGTAACCACAGGGGAGCATAATAGCAGAGCTGTCGTGAGTCAGGCCTTGGAGGAGGGAACAGTCACCAGAACCCAGAAGGAGAGTCTTGTAGAACAGACCACCTTGACAGAAGCACCGACTCTTGGTTGAGAGAGATACAGCTAACCCTGAGAGTGAAATAAATAAACCTTCAGCCCTCCCCGTCTCCCTTCGCTTAGATATACAGCCAGAAGCCAAGAACGGGGAAGCCCATGGATGTCGTCCATACAGGTCAGCCTCCCAGAGGGCCCATCAGAGAGCAAAGTGGAGAAGGGTACAGTAGAGAGTGGCACACCCAGTTGAAAGGCTGATTCGTCTGTGCAGCCCCCATCCCCATTGGCACCCTGTTCACACCTCCCGCCAGCACTCATCACAGTGCCTTTCGGTGTGGTGTTGTAGGATGCTGTGCTCCCAGCCTGCAGGTGACCTCTGTAACACGGACCCAGTTCCTGAAACAGGGTGGGTGTTGACTCAGTGTCTGAAGGACTGTCCCTGTCAAAGGTGCCAGCAAAGTACTGGCTCAAAGTGGCCTTCGTCTCTTCTCTCTTTCCTAGTTCAGGCCACGACACCACCCCCGTGACGCCGTGTCTTCGGCTTTCTGGCTGATGGCCCTCTCTCCGCGTTCTGTCCCCTCCGGGATACTCAGACATGGTGGATTAAGATTCCTGAGCACAGATTCTGAGCCTGCCATGCATAAATCTCCCGAATCAGACGCAACCTACCACTTTCTACAAGTACCCTAGTTCCGTGGGCTGGATTATCTGAGACCATCCAGTTCCAGTGCTCTGGCCTGTGTTGTAGAACCTGTGTCTCGATGTCCTCAACTCTAAGCCAACAGAGTCAAGAGGTGCAAAATTAGTGACAGAGCTGGGTCATGAACCTTTATAGCTCTAGGGAATATTACACCCAGTAGCAACTCCGAGGTGAATTAAGGAAGGAAGGAGGGACCGATTTGAGAAGAGAGATGGGTGGCAGGGTGAAGAGAGATCGGGCCAGTGTACATTTCATAGACCAGAAAGGATTTATTCTTGTGATCTATTAAATCAAAAAACATTTCCTCTGCATCCACCAGTATACTCTGCTTGAGGCAGAGACGTGGGAGACCTGTCTTTGAATCTTTGCAGTTTGAGTAGAGAGAAAGGGCGCAAGTAACTCTTCATACCATTAGAGTGACCACATTACTTTCTAACCTGAGTATAAACGGAAGTGTGTGGAAGGATCTTTGAGCAGATGGGGTACAATCTGTTCGTTCGTTTCAAAGGTGAAGAAATTATGTCCCAGAAGTTTGGAGGGCCTCACCCAAGGTCACACCACCCAGTGGTAGAGCTGGGCCCAGAGCCCAGATCCTTAAAACCACAATCAAGTCTTCTTTCAACAGCCGGTGTCTCTGCGCTCCCTCCTTCCCCAGCCCCGCAGGCCCAGCAGCACCCAGAGACCACGCTGGCAGGTTACCGTTTGGGGGTGTACGTGTTCAGATGCGTGAGCTGCCCTAATTGTGACAGTAATAATACCACACTTCTGTTTAGCATTTTGTCTTATTCTGCATGAAGTTCACATGGCATACTTTTATTGGCCCACGGACTCATCCATTCAACAAATATCTAGATACAGTCACCAATGAATAATGCTAAAACAAGGTAAATGCCACGGCAGTGAAATTTGACTAGGGGATCAGGGAAGGTTCTGTGATGGAGGGGGCACAGGAGTGGGGTCCTAGGAGAGGAAGGGAATTTGGACCTAAAGAGAGACAGGGCAAGGGAGATCCAAGCACCTGCGGGCAAAGTAGGGAAGCAGTGGCAAAGTAGTTCAGGATCTACCCAGCAGCTGCAAGCCCCAGAATTGCTCTTGGTGAGTTTTCCAATGCCCTCCGCGTCTACCGAGTCTAGGGGTTGAGGCCTGGCTTGATCTGACCTTTCCACAGCATTTGACAGGGATGGTCACTGCCCTGGTCTTTAAAGCGCAGTCTCCATCTGACGTCGAGGACACATCTCTCATTCCTTCACCTGCCTCGCTGACCACTCCTCCAAAGTCCCTGCCTCTCACCCCCTCCCACACCAGAGCAACCCCAGGGCCAGTCCTGCCCTCCTCTCTGCTGACCTCTCCACACTCATTCCTGAGATGATCTCATCCCACCACAGGACTCACCATGCCATCCACATGCTGATAACTTTGAGACAGAAAGTTCTATCCCTGTTTCATTTCAGTGAACTAAAGACGTGTACATCCAGCTGTCAGCTAACTCGTATTTCCACGTGCGTGGCTCGTAGGCGTCTTGCACTGAATGTGTATGTGGTAAGGTCCTGAAATCCTCGGCCCCTGACCTGCTCCTCCCTCACCTTCCAGAAACCTTGGGCTAATCCTGGACTCCCTTCCTCAGAGACTCCTCATGCAGCCCATCAGAACCCAGGCTCCTCTGCCTTCGGTCACAGACACGATTTTAATATTCCTGTAATTGATCCCCACTAGCTACATCCTTGCCAGAGAGATCCTTTTAGAACCCAGGATAGAACCTGTCACTCCCCGGCTCTGACTCTCCTGTTGCTTACCTTCTGAATCAGAGCCAAAGCCAAGTTTGTGAGGCGCCTGCAGTGTTCATGTGATCTAATCTGTGCGGTCTTTCTGCTCTCTTCTTCCACCTTCACCTGCAGACACACCGGCAGCCTTACCGTTTTCTGGAACATACCAGAGACACTCTTACCTCAGGTCCTTTGTACTTGCTGTTCCCTTTGCCTGAGATATTTTAAAAACCTCTAGGTCTTTCACAGCTCACTCCTTTCCATCACTCAAGACCTCGACTGTCATCCCCTCAGTGAGCCTTTACCCTTAGCCCTTTATGAAACCGTCATCCCATCACGATCTCTTACCACTTTCTATCTCATTTATTTAGTGAGTAGGTGTGTGTTTTCTGCCATTAGAATGTCAGCTCCCTGAAAGCAAAGAGCTTGTTCATGAAGAGGAATATGTAGGCTGCATCCCCAATCCCTAGAACAGAGCCTGACACAGGGTAGCCCCTCAGTAACATTTGTTGAACATGTGAATGAAAGAGTCAGTCAACCAACACCAGAGAAGTTGTTTCATCTCCCTGAGCATTGGTCATGTCATCAATAAGATAAGAACAGTATCCACATGACTGGATTATTATAAGGTTTAATTAAGAAATTTACAGCTTAGGGGTGCCTGGGTGACTCGGTCAGTTCAGCATCAAACTCTTGATTTCAGCTTGGGTCATGATCTCACGGTCTGTGGGATCGACCCCCATCCCAGCTCCGCGCTGAGGATGCAGAGCCTGCTTGGGATTCTATCCCTCTTTCTGTGCCCCCCCCAAAATAAATGAAATAAACTTTAAAAAAAGAAATTTATAGCTTAGTGCTGTTGACCAATGGCCCAGTCAATATCTGTGATTATTATTTTACTATGATTTATCATCATTATTATTGCCATTTTACTATTGTTATTTCTGTTGCTGTTACATTTATTGTAATGAAGAGTATCCACCATTTTCAACAAACTTTCATTGAGCTTTAACTATGAGTCAGGCATCTGACTAGGTACTGGGGATTTGGCCATGAATGAGACATCACTGTTCTCATGGAGCTTACAATGTAGCATGAACACAACATGGCAACTAACCTAGTTTAGTGGATCCCAGACTGCATGGAGAGAAAACTCGCAGAAGCAGGAAACGAGATTTCAGAACAAGTGTTAGAGGACCCTGAGTAGCAGGATAAGGTGGTTTACTTTACTTGCCAGACGATTAAGAGTCATC